CTTAATTCTCAGTTGGATTTCTCCTTGATTATTTTCCATTGTTTCTTGGCCTGCCCCCTGGTGCTCTGGAAAATAGGCTGAACCCCCCCCCCTTCTTTGTGGCAGCTCCTCAAATAGTGGAAGACGGCTATCCTGTGTCCCCCCCCCCGGGTCCTTCTTTTCTCTAGACTGCTCATACCCAGGTCCTGCATCCCTGTTCTTCGTATGTTTTTGTCTCCAGGCTACATGTATGCATGCCGGCGCTTGCAGGCGCTCCCCCCAAACGCCGCAATCACACAGCCACGGGGTGACACCAAGCATATATTTTATTGAAAGTCCAACTCATGACTAGGCAGTGAGTAGGGAGGGTCCCTGTTCAGGTTTGTACAAGTCGCTGCTCCTGGTGGGTGAAGTTACAGATAAATATTGTTACATGAACAGACAGCAGTGGGCACTAATCGCTCAGCCCGGACTGAGCCGAGGCAGGGGGGCTGGCAAGCGGATGCGTTCACCAGGCACAGCAGGGGCAGGGAGGGGGCAGAGAAGAGAGCCGGGGAGGGGGTCTCCCGAGGGGCCTGCAGCCAGGCTGACCCTCTGCCAGTGTCCTGGATTCAGCAAACAAAACTAGCGTGGGGCTCCTTGGTTCTCTGCAGATGGTGATGAGTGAAATAGTCCTGCAATGTTGCTCATCTCCCCCCCCCACCAGAAGTGGAGCCCTCCCCCCAGACAGGTGGACCCCCATTTTCCCACTTCCGCCAAGGAGCTGCGTGCAGAATTGCCCTCTGGGCTCCCAGCTGCCATGCAGCATGCGGGGTGCTATCTTGCACTCCCCCCAACTCAGCTGTGCCCCCCCTGGCAGGTGAGAATTAACAGGAAACTATGTGTGTGGGGGGGGGCAGTCCTGTGGGAAGTGATGGGGGGAGGTGTGTGCACCCATACAGCCCCTCTTCCTAAAAAACCGATTTACGGAGGGGGGAGCCAAGCAGAGCAGGGAGGTGGGGAGCAGAATGGGGGAGGCACCCAGTGCCCTTGCCCTCCCCCACAAGAAGAAATGAAGGGAGGCTGGCAGGTGGGAACCCCTTCCCCAGATATGCCTTCCTTGAGGGAGGGGCCCATCTACGCTTGCCCATCCCCCCCAGCCTTCCTTCCAGCCCAAACAAAGGACCTCATACAAAGGCCGCAGTTCTTGGGAAGCCCCCCCCCAAACAAGCAGGAAAGCTATTCCTTCTCAGGGTCCTAAAGGGTCCTACAGCCCCCCCCCCGTTTCCTGCCTGCGAACGCCCTCTGGCTACTCTCCTGGCCACGTGGGAGGGTGGTGGGTGGTGGGGGACACTTGGGGAAAGGGGAGAGAGGGAGGAGAGAGGACAAGATGCCCACCAGACCGCCTGGGCCCCCAAACCCCCAGTGCTGGGTCCCACTCGTGCAGGGAAGTCGTGGGCCCGGCTGCCTGGCGGGACTCAGGCTTCTGGGTCCATCTCTCTGGAGGGGCGTGAAACCAGGGGGGGGGCTACCCTCCAGCTCACGTCCTACTCCAGGTAAATGTCTTCTGTGGGGCAAGCAAACTCAAGATGCTCCTGGTAGTATTCCTGAAAGGCGCGGCTACAAAGAGGAGGAAGAGCTGAGTTAGTACCCCTGGTCAGCGGGGGAGGAGGCCACCTATAGCTGCCTCCCCCCTCTTGGCTAGGAACCCCCAAGACAAAGGGGAGAGCGCACAGGCATGCCCACCTCCAGGCTCCCCTAACCCCCCCATTCTTTGAAGGAGACCAAACTCCCCCCCCCAGAGAACTTGGCACAATATGTCCACAGGACCCCCGGAGGGCCTGCCCCACGGAACCTGCTTTCACCCCCGCCAGCTGTGCCTCTTGCGACTCGTGCCTAGCTCAGGCCAAGTCCCAGCAGTGCCCCGAGGCGAGGGGGGCTGCCCCTGTGCCCTAGCGTGCCCTAGGAGGGGCTGCTGCTGCTGCTGCTATCCAGACCCCTGCCTGGGGGACGTGCCCTCTTTGGACTCAGGGTGTGAGGAACAGAATCGGCGCCGTATGGATCAGTGTTCCAGATCTCTCTGCACGCCCAAGATGCCCGGGACCCCGCCTCACCTCTCTACAGGGACACAGCCATGTCCTCACGCACCTTCGCCCAGCCCACCCTCACTGCCCCCCCCAGCAAAGGAGGGGAGGGGGCAGAATTGCTGCTCGACTGTCTGCTCCTCCTTCCTGGCAGGACGAGACTGGAGGCTGCGGGGCCCCTGGCACTTGCCCCGGCCACTCGGGGTCCATCTTGCCCCCAGCCCGAAGGGTTGCTCTGCCCCACGGAGTTGGGCTGCCAGCCGCTGCTTTGGCCACTCTCTGCCTTCTCGGGTTGCACCAACATTGTCGCAGCAGGGCCTCCCCCCCCCCACTTACCCGACACACTCGGCCACGGGCCGCATGGACTCCTGCGAAACGAAGACGTGGCAGGCAAAGCGACTCAGGACGGGGTGCTTGGTGATGAACCCAAAATAGCTGCGAGGGAAGACCAGTCGCGGTGAGGCCAAGCAGGCAGGGCGGCTGCCAAGGGTGGGGGTCCCAGACCCACAAGAGGGCTCCAGTGGCCCATTTGCAAAGAGAGCTGCCCCCCACACACTGGTGCACTTCCCTCCCTGGGGGGGGAGAACCTGCCAGTTCAGCACGTGCCATCCCAAGCGGGCACCCCTTTCAGAAGGAGCCACTCACCAGCTATTGCGAGGGTGGCAGCCGCAGAAGGAGACGTTCTTCATCTGGAAGAAATGGCTGCAGCGCTCCAGCTAGGAGGGAGGGAGGGAGGAGAGTGGCAGCGAGGAGGCAGCCATGCCAGCCGCCCCTGAGCAGCCCTGAGCAGCACTGCCATGGGCTGCCCATCTGACCTGGCCCTCTTGCCCACTCAGAGGCCTTGTGCCCCTGCGATCCCTGGAGCAAAACAGCCAGTCGGTGTTGTGCCCCAAAGCCTTCAAAATGGTCCCCAGGATAATTCTGGGCACAGCCCTGCCTCTGCCCTGGCATCTCTGGGGCAAAGAGGTGGCAGAGAGGGGAGAATCCAGGCCAGCAGTGGGGAGGGCAAAGAGCAGCTGGAGGCCACCACCCCCATCAGGGAGGTTTTCCCCTCCTCTCCAGGGAACTGGTCTAGGGCTGGCCAGGGGCAGGGTGACGGGCGTTGCCCTAAGCCTGATCCCGCCCTCCCACCAGCCGGAGCACAAGGGCTGCACCCACCTCCCTGCCAAGCCTTCCTGGCCTGGGTCCAGGCCGTCATGCAGCCTGGTTAATGTTAACTAACATTTAGGGGTGACCGAAACGAGTTTGCACAATAGATTCACACACACACACACACACACACACACACACACACACACACACACACACACACGATCTCCCCAACCGAATTAACTCTTCCCTCTGAGCAGATGAGCAGAGAGTTCCTGCCCGTGGAAGCCAGGTGGAGCTGAGTCGGCAGCCGCACGAGGCTGGACCCCCCTTCCAACAGCCCCCTCGCCCCCTCCCCATGGCAGACCCTCACCTCTTCATCCTGACTGTATTCGTTGACGGTCAGAATGAGCTTGATGCCTTGCAGGCTGATTTCCAGGTCACAGGTGGCCGGAGGCCTCAGGTGGACGGTCAGCTTCCGCGTGGTGGCAATCTGCAGAGAGGAGCAGCAGGGCAGCGCTCAGCCCTAGCAGGCAGGACCCTGCACGGGAGACCCTTCGCAACGGGTTAACCTCAGCCTCTTCGCCAGGTGAGCCTAACACGGGGTTTGGGTCAAGGGGTGGGCACCCAGGCGTGCCAGAGCAGGGAGCACCCGTGTTAAGCACCACGCAAGGGTTCCTTCCAGCACAGCATGGGTGGCACCGTGGTTAGAATGCGGGACTGCAGGCTAATTCTGCCCACTGCCGGCTGCGAGCAGTTGGGCAGTTCGATCCTGACTGGCTCAAAGTGGACTCCGCCTTCCATCCTTCCGAGGTCGGTCAAATGAGGACCCAGATTGTTATGGGGGGCAAGATGCTGACTCTGTAAACTGCCTAAAGAGGGCAGTTATATACCACTGTGAAGTGGTATATAAGTCTAAGGGCTACTGCTACTGGCTCAGCACGTGGCGTCAACCAAGCCATCGCGTAAGCCGGAAGAAGAGAAGGACGGGCAGAAATGGGACCCAGCCGATTATTGTCTACACACGAGGACTGTCACGATCAAACACACAGACTCAAATCTCGGAACTTGCCATGGAAACTGGGACAGCAATTAGAGAAGATTCTGAGATAAGCCAGGCGCCAGGAATGGGCGACTTTTAACCCAGATCTGCTTAAATTGGTGTCTGATCCAGTACAAGCCCCCCCCTCTGGCTCTGAGCTCCCAAGAAGCTGGGGGGCGCTCAGCCGGACCCACATCAGCCATGCCTGGTGCCAATATTGGAACTCCAAAGCGGGGCTTGGCAGATGATGCTGTGGGAACATGGCACAAACTTTGCCTCCGATTGTGAAGGAAACCCCTCCAGACGGCACCCTGGAGCTCTGTAAGAACCCCATCGCCTCAAGGGCAGTGCTGCCCAATGGCTAAACGGTCTAAATATCCGGCCGTAGGCTTAGCCATTCTAGTAACCGCTCATATATAATTTAATTTTATTCATAATGTTATTCATCATTCATATTGGCCGTTTTTAAAATAATTCACTATAATCCCGAAGGTGCCTCTTCAAAAGGCCCCTGAACTTTCTTGGTTTTTCCTTGAAGACGTTTCACTTCTCGCCCAAGAAGCTTCTTCAGTTCTGGAGAAGAACTGAAGAAGCTTCTTGAATGAGAAGCGAAATGTTTTCCAAGAAAAAAACCAAGAAAGTCCAGTGGCCTTTTGAAAAAGACCTTTGGGACAACCAGGACCTGGATGACCGAATCTCCACAGAAATTCAGTGTAATCGTGTTTTATATTTTGATGCACATTTGATATGCTGTTTTTTGTGAATTTTATGCCCTAATGCTGTACTCTGTTACCCCATACGAAATAAATAAAATTTCAGAAGCTGGAAAAAGGCTGCTGGGTGGTCTGTGAACGTGGCTGTTGTGCTGCACTGACTCTTGCTTAGGGTTGTGCAGGCGCAACCGTGCAAAGGCAGCCCTGGCACGCGCACACACACACACACACACACCCCTCAGCACCCCGCAGGGCTCACCTTCTGCATGGCTGCACACAAAATGCCGTTGCCCTGGTGGTAGGGCACCTCCACCGAGCCCAGGAACTGCACGTTGAAGTGTTCCACCCAGCAGGGGTTCCGCTTCAGGCCTGCAAGGAATGCCCAGACTCACACCCGGTTGGCCTCCTGCGGTGACGCTTCCCCCCCCCCGGCACCCCCAGGAGGACCACGCCAAAAAGGGGGATGAGTCTGGAAGAAGCCTGGACTTCTCTGGAGGGGGCTACAGAGCCCCGCTTTGTGCCTTTTCCCACCATCTTCATCTCCTTAGGGACCTCTGGAGCATCAACTGAAAGGATGGGGGATCCCCAGGCCCCCCAAGTCTTCATCCTGCTTTGCAATGCTGCGTTTTTAGACTGCAAGGTCCTCGTGGCAGAGGCCTGGGTTTCCTCCTCACGTCACGTACTGAAAGCACCACAACTATGGATTTTAACCATGTGTGGCGGCAGCCCAAAAAGCTAATACGCTCCTCGGTTGTATAAACAGAGGCACAGACTCAAAATCGTGTGAAGTGTTAGTGCTGCTTTGTAAAGTGAGGCCACTCTGCAAGGCCCACCATGGGCAGCCCCAGAGGAAGGTTCTCCCCCTTCGTCCTGCCCGTCCCCTGCAGCGTACCTGCCACGTCCCTGGCCTGGCTCACCACCTCGTGGGCATAGAAGGCGGGGAAAATGCCACGCTCCCCCGTGCGCATGTTGTAGCCCCGGTACCAGTAGTCATCCTCCTCCAGCTCTACCAGGATCGGGTCGTCCACGTCCAGCTCCAGCTCGTCTTCGTGGCGAGGGATGAACCTGGAAGGGAGAACAGCCACCGGGGGGGGGGGATTTCAGGAGAGCTGCACAACTGTAGCCCCCTGGCCCCGCTTGCCTCCTCCTGTGGGGCCAGCCTGCCCCCCCTGCTCCTCTGTTCCTGGCCCACAGACATTAATGCCAGTGCTCCCCAAGGTGCTTTCTCCCAGAAGGCACCGGGGCTTTCTTGGACTTTTTCCTTGAAAACGGTTCGCTTCTCCTTCAAGAAGCTTCTTCAGTTCTAACTGAAGAACTGAAGATAGAACTGAAGAAGCTTCTTGGATGAGAAGGGAAATGTTTTCAAGGGGAAAAAAACCCCAAGAAAGTCCTTTTTTGGGGGGAAAAAGCACCTTTGGGACAACCATGACCCAGATGACGGAGACTCTGACGCTCCACACACACACACACACACACACCCGCATGGCAAACAAAGACCTCTTAAAGGAGACCTCAACCGATTCCAGGCCAGCCCAATGGGCAGCGGAAGGTCCGGAACACGGAGGAAAGACACCCTGCAGGCGCTCCAGTTATACCCGGGAGGTGGTCAGAGGGGCTCTTGGCTCCAGGGGCTGAACTTCGGTTCTTCTTCACGGGGCTTCTGCCTTCCCTCACTGACCCCCCCAACTGCCTGCCCTGGATGAGGGGCACCCCAGAGTGTCTCTCTCTCCCCCCCCCCCGCAGCTCACCTGAAGACGGCTCGGTGGGTCTGTTCACGCTCCTCTCCATTCACCATGCAAGAAAACAGGCCGAAGGATTCGGTGCCTGGGGGCAGAGAAGGCATCGCTGGAGAAGCCGAAGCAGAGGAGAGGGGGAGGGGGGAGGGCTGCTCAAGGGAGGGGGCAGCCAGGGCGGGGGAGGCCACCAACCTCCGGGAGGACAAAAACCCATCACCCAGGTACAGCAGGACGCACTGGCTCAGCCAGCAAAATATGTTGGAGGAGACAGCAAAGGTTAGAGTCTTTGAGAGCAAAGAAAATACAGGAAGTCCTCGATTTATGACCACAATTGAGTCCAAATTTCTGTTGCTAAGTGAGACGGCTATTGAGTTTTTCCCCATTTTACGACCTTACAACCTTTCTTGCTTGAAGTGACTCACTGCGGTTGTTAAGTTAGTCACATGGTTGCTAAGTGAATCTGGCTTACCCTGGACTTTGTTTGTCAGAAGGTCGCAAAAGGGGACGCTGCAACCATCACAAATATGAGCCAGTTGCCAAGCATCTGAATTTTGATCCCATGACCACGGGGATGCTGCGATGGTTGTGTGAAAAATGGTCATAAGTCACTTTTTTCAGTGATGATGCAACTTTGAACTGCCACTAAACGAATGGCTGCAGGTCGAGGACTACCCGCGTGTCCAAAGGAACCGGGGTGGTGGTGGGGATGCAGCGGGGGCTGTTCCAAGCTCCGCTTCCCTCCCTGTCCCTCCCTCCCGTCCGACACTTACTTGAGGAGCGGGAGGTGCTGTTGACAAAGACGTTGAGGAACTTCTTGGAGAAATGGAGGTCGGCCTCCGGGGAGGAGTCCTCTGAGGAAGAGCTGCGCCCGTCGGGGACCACCAGCCCTTCCCCAAAGTCGCTCGCAGCGTCCTCCGGGTCGGTGGCGTCGCAGGCGCGGAGCAGCTCGCTGTCGTCGCTCAGCACCGAAGTGCAGCGCTTGAGGCTGACCAGCTCCAGCTGGGTGTTCTCGTCCACGACCAGGGTGTACTTGACCGAGTCGTAGGCCAGGGAGTCGTCCAGCATCATGGTGGGTGGCGGGAGGGAGAGCTCCTCGGCAAAAGGGGACCCTTTCAGGCTGCCCAAGCAGGGCACACCGTCCTCCTCGGGGGAGTAGGACAAGCTGAAGCAGCGATTGGTCTTGGCGGTGGAGACATCCAGGCCTTCCTTGGGCTCTAACCGGATGTCGTCGATCATGTCGTTGTCCTCCAAGATGCCTGAGTCCAGGTCCCCATCAATGGCACAGTCGTCCTCGTCCTCCTCCTCCTCCTCCTTGCCGGGGGGCTCCCTGGGGGGGAAGGTTTTGGGGGCCACAGGGTTGACACAGCAGACGGAGTAGGGCCGCCCTGGGAAGACGGGTGCGATGACATCGTTGGTGGAGCTGCTCATGAGCAAGTAGGGCCCCCTGTCCCCTGCCTGAGGCCCCTTTCCCACCGCAGGCTGGGCCTCCAGCGGCTTCGCCTCTTCAGCGCCCTGCAGCGAGCAGCGCAGCGTCTCCATGTCCACCAGCTCGATGCTCTGCTGGGAGCAGGGCTGGGCGTCATTCAGGGCCTCACTGGGCAACTCCGGCTCCAGGTCGGAGGCCGGAGAAATCGTATCGGAGAGGGAGTGAGCTGCCTGGAAGCATTCATCGGCACACTTGATGGGATAGGAGCCTTCCGAGATCATTTTGTTCACCAGGTTGCTAAGCAGCCAGGGGGAGTCTGAATCCTCACTCAGATCCGGTTCCGACTCCGACTCCGATTCAGAATCGTACTCGCTGTTCCCTTCCTCTTCCGCCCCGTCGCGCAGGAGCTGACGCCCTACTGGCAGATAGAAGGACCGTCGCAGGCTCTCCAGACTGTGGTCGGGGTTGATCTCCAGTTCCAGACAGCCCGAAGGAGGCAACTCGGCCTGGTCAACGGGGACCGAGGGATCTTCGTAGAGCTCCTCTATTTTGAGTGGGGCCAGGCTCTCATCTGCAGGCAGCTGCGTGCCCTCCTCTTCCTTCTTGGCACCCAGCAGGAGGGCACCCTTCAGGCCCATCACACCTGGGGCTTCCAGGTCAGCCTCCAGGTCGGCCTCGGAGCCCGGGGAGCTGGCCTCCTCGATGGAATTGGTGAGGTGGGAGGAACGGCCGCTGCTGCTCTCGCTGCTCAGGTCCAGCTCCGTTTCGGAGATGCTGGAGATCATGTTGCTGGCCAAGCGGCTCCCACTGGATGCAAAGGCTGCCTCGATTTCCCCTTCCACATCAGAGTCGGAGCTGGGGGAACTGAGGTCCTCGCTGTGCTGGATGCACGGGTGGAAGGCCTTGGAGGACCGGCTGGTGAGATCGGCCTCTATGCCGGGGTCCGAGGAGGGAGACGTGGTATCAGAGGAAGCAGAGGGCAGCCCTCCCAAAGTGCCCTCTCCCTCAGAGCTCAGTGGGGCAGCCACTTCTCGTACTGGGCTTGCGTGGGATACTAAGGAATGGGACTCTCTGGGCGCACCGTCCCCAGGGCGCTTGGCAGGCTCATCCTGAGAGAGTGGGGCACGGAGCACGCCCACAGGGGATCTGTGTCCTGCTGGGTTCCCAGCCAAGCCGGCTCTCTCCTCTTTCTCCTGGCATGCCACAGCATCCCTCTGAAACTGGGCACAGTAGCTCTCTGTGGCAGGGGACCTGTGAGGGCTGCAACTGTGGGGCTGGGAGGCCGAACTCAGGGGTGGAGGGCTGCTCCGAGCTTCAGGAGGCTTCCCAGATGCTGCGCTGGTCAAGACAGAGGGAGGTTGCGGGTTGGCGTCACTGGAGACAACGTTCATGTTATAATCCTCCCCCCCAGGGAGGCCTCTCTGCAGACCCTGGCTATTGCCTTCGGCATCAAAAACTGGGGGCTTGCAAGGGGCCTGGGGCAGAGCCGGCCCTTCGCTGCTCTGGACGTCCCTGCAGGGTCCATCCTGGAGACAAGCGTGCAAGGGAGACGGTCGCTCTGCAGAGGAAAGCCAACAGCTCCGTTTAGGCCTTGAAAAACTGAGCCACCATTTTACGTTCTTAATACAAGCCTGGAAACTGAATCAAAGGCAGCGTCCTGATCCTATGAGAGTCAGGGGGATTTTTTCCCCCCTCTTTCCCGACCAAAAATAAAGGGACATGTCAGCATGATACAGTGGGAATCTCCAGCCCGTGTCTTTAATCTGGTAGACGGAGATCTGAAATCTCCTTAACGCAGTTCAGTGCCCTCCTCCCCGGATGGCTGGAAGGGAGGAAGAAGGGCAGGGGAGGGTTCTGCCCCCCCCCCACCGATCCCCACCCCAGCTCCGGTAGAGGGCACCTGCTGAATTCGGGCTAGGCACCCTGCCTCAGCTGGGTATCTCCCCTCCTGGCAAATGGGGACGCAGCAGGGGAGTGGTTGGTCAGCTTCAACTCCCCTTGCATTTTCCAGGCCAGACCCCCCACACACACACACACTTCTGGGGGTCTCCCAGTGGAGACACAGGAGAATTAGATCAACTGGTGGGGAAGGATTTGCTCATTGTGAGCTGCTTTGTGTTTTCAAGGGAAAAAGCGTTGAAATCTTTGTTTCATGTTAAAAATGTTTCTCAATCAATCGCTTGATGCTTGTTCCTCTCTCCAACAGGGGCTGTTCCAGAGGGGGGCGTTGTGCCCCCTCTGCCCCAGGACTCTTTGGGAAAACTCCCCACCAGATTGGAAGGTCTACACAGAATCGGACCGAGCAGGGCATGAGGGAGCCAAGCCAAAAGCCCCCCCCCCTTGACCTCTGGGTCTTTGGTTCCCTAGAAGAAATGGGGGGACTCACCTGCGTGGGAGACGGAGGAGGAGGAGGAAGAAGAAGAGGAAGAGTGCAGCAGAGTCTCTTGCCACGTGGCCCGCTGCAGGGGGGGAGCCACGTTGCCACCACCGCTGTTGTTGTTCAGGGAATCCTGTCATGGGGGGGGGAGAAGAGAGCAACTCAGTGGGGGCAGCTTTTAAGGGGAAAGTCCCCAGTTTACATCTTGGCACGCGGCTCAGCTGTCTTCAAGGCCCCGGATCAGAACCGGGAGAGTGGCAGAACTGGGACTCCATGGAAGCTGGTATTGTAAAGGGGACAACAAAACCACCAGTGGGCATCAGCTCCTTTGCACCCCGGGGTCTGCCGAGGAAGCCCAGAAGCAGCCTGCAGGAAGGGCAGCTGTGACTCTTCAGCCAAGTTCCCCAGCCTTTTGCGAAACTGTTGCCCAGACAAGGAAGCGGCACTGGGTGGCCCAAGCAAAGGCACTGGCCAAAAGCCCAGCCCGGTTCGGACAGCGGCGAGTCCTGACCGTGACGGGTGTCCGATGCCCCCAGAGGGACACAAAGGCATCAGCAGGTGGGCAACAGCCGACTCCGTTTTATTTATTCCATTTTATTTGCCACCCGTCCCGTTTCAAAGCGGCTCTCTTGCTGAATCCATGCTGCTCCCTGACCTCTTGCAGCACTTTTAAATGTAGAGTTTAAATCTTTGATGGACTCTTAACGTCATGCCATAGAGTTTCTCCAGCTTTGGGTTTTTATCTTCGGAGTCGTTTTGGTTTTGAATGACATTATGATTTTAGCCTTAAGACTGGAATTATCCCAGGAGATATAGGGGACTCCAAACTTTAAAGTCTTAAAGCTGCAAGTTCGGAGACGTTTGTGCTAGAATATTATCTACAGCAGGGGTCCTCAACCTTGGCCACTTTTAAGACTTGTGGACTTCAACTCCCAGAATTCCTCAGCCAGCTTTGCTGGCTGAGGAATTCTGGGAGTTGAAGTCCACAAGTCTTAAAGTGGCCAAGGTTGAGGACCCCTGATCTACAGAATTGACATCTAGCAGGTAACCCAAGATGATGTTCCATCTTTTTAATCTGCTGCTTCTCCGACTGCCTCTGTTTGATGCAGCTCTTGGACCGACAAAAAAGGATTGATTGACTGAACTCCTGACCCTCAGGCACCGTTGATTTTAAGCCAATTTTCTAAAGTCCCTCGTGGCTTGCTCCGTCCCCAGTCAGCATCACAACGCTGTTCTCATTGCTTTGTTCGTCTAACAACTTCCACAATCTATCATTACATTTGGGAATGTAAGACATGTTGGTATGGCAACTGCCTTGCTTTTGCACCAATTTTATCCTTCCTTTTTTTAATACTGTTTGTATAAAACAGCCGGCAGTGTCTTTCCCAAATGACTGGATCCTCACCTCGTCCTTCTCGTGACGGTACTGCTCAAATTCCTTTAATCAGAAGTTTCCTCCTCCTTATTCAATACTGATGTGGGGTTAGAAAGAGGCTGCTGCTTAGTCAGTTTCGTGGCTTTAATTACTGGGTTCTTTTAATAATTATTTTTCCCTTTCTAAATGCTAGGTCTCCACAAAAGGCTGGGTCTTTGTAAAACAAGGGGGGTAAGGAAAAGAAATGAGTAACTTCCCCCTTGCAGAAAAAGTGGGCATAAACATGTAATCAAAGGAGTTATCAGGAGAAAGACAGCCATCCGCAGGAATCCATCAATATTCTAACCAAACCACGGCAGCAAATCTGGAGAAGAGGGCAGGGGTTCTCGTTGACCCATTGGAAGAGGTCAATCTACATTTCAATACCGAAAAAGGGAGACTTAACAGAACCTGCAAACTCTTGTACAACATCCTTAATTTCAAATGCTTGCAAAATAATGTTCAGGATCAACTAAGGAGATCTGGAGAAGAGCGCAGGGGTTCTCGTTGACCCATTGGAAGAGGTCAATCTACATTTCAATACCGAAAAAAGGAGACTTAACAGAACCTGCAAACTCTTGTACAACATCCTTAATTTCAAATGCTTGCAAAATAACGTTCAGGATCAACTAAGGAGATTAGAGCCCTCCATGAAAAGGGAGATAACCAGATGTCTGTCTGAAACCAGCTGAAAGTCAACATATTGGCAGATTAGAAGCTCAGAGGGGGGGAGCCTTAATCTCGGGAGGGGGGGATTAGTGATGGGCCTGTGACATAAACGGGAATACAACTGCTCAAAAATCCCGCAGGAGCTTAAGCAGAAATGGATTTTTAAAGGATGAACCACTTGATGAAAACCGCGGCTGTGAAGCAGAGGCATCGCCAGTGGGGGAGGGGCTCCTGCCCACCAGTTAAATGGAGCCCTGCGGTGCCATGAGTGACCGTTCGTGGCTCAGCGCAGAGGTCAAGCCCAGCCGAAGGACGGCAGGAGAGCCCGCCTCCCCTCCTGGGAGTTCCCTGAAGGCGGGCACCTCCCGTACAGCTGTCCTCGTGGCCTGGGACTCTGGGAGGCTTCCCGCTGCCTCCGGTGCCCATGCAGGTGACCTTGGCCAGGCCAGCCGCCTCGGCTGCCCACCTGACACCTGTCCTGTGGCCACCCAGCCCGCCTCTGCTGGCATCCCTGCACGGTCAGTCTCTTGGCAGAGAAAGCCGCCCCCCCAGGAAGTCGCTCCCCACAGGGCTCCATTTAATTGATGGGCAGGAGCCCCTCCCCCACTCCCTCCCCCACTGACGACTCCTCGTTTTCATCAAGGGGTCGTTTAAAAAAATCAGTTTCTGAAAACCAGAGTGGGGTGCCCCTTTGCTATGCGGGGTACAGGCTGCCTGGAGGCCCCACCCTCAGTGGTCCCGCCAAGCCCAGTAAATGCAGGTGGACTTAGAGCCAGCTGGGCAGCCCCAGTTGGTTTAACAGAGTTGGAAGCCCTGCAGACTCAGCCTCCCGGCCTCGGCTTCTCTTTGCTCGCCCTGAAGCGCTCCAGATTCTGCCAGGGCGGGAGGGCGCTGCCTCCTTCGGCTACCTGCCCGCCCTGCGTCTTCTGCCATGCTTTATTCATGAGGCAGAAAGGCTGCTGGAGCCACACTGCCCGCTAAGTGGGGCAGGCGCCTCCCGGAGACACCCTGAGCAGCCCCCCCCCACGGAGGCCCTCAGCCCAGGCACCCGCCGGGAGGAGTCCAGGGTCCTCTCCCCCCCCCAAGCAACCTTTCTGTTGGCCTGATGCATTGCGCAAATTTCCCTCTCTTTGTACAGGTAGTCCTCGACTTACGACTGCTATTAAATCCCAAATTTCTGTTGTGAGTTTTGCCCCATTTTATGACTGTTCTTGCCACGGTCGTTAAGGGAATCACTGCAGTCGTTAAGTTAGCAACGCAGTCGTTAAGTGAGTCTGGCTTCCCCATTGACGTTGCTTGTCAGAAGGTCACAAAAGGGGGTCACGTGTCCCCACCCAGACGCTGTGACCGTCGTAAGCACGAGCCGGTAGCCAAGTGTCCGAATTTCGATCCACATGACTGTGGGGACACTGGAACAGTCGTAAGTGTGAAAACAGGCTCTAAGTCGCTTTTTTCAGTGCCACTGTAACTTCGGTCACTAAACGAACTGTCGTAAATCGAGGACTGCCTGCATCGGAGCCTCCTGGCTTCCCATCCCAAGCTCCGTGCCGGATGCGCCTCTCAAACTCGGACGGGTCTGCAATGACCCGGCTGCCGCCCCCCCCTTTCTGAGAGCAAAGCTGCTTTTCTCAGGGCTGCAGCTCTCTCAGCCTCAGTTCCCCCCCCCCGCCAGGAGCCCCCCCCCTCACCTGGGTGCTCGTGACGGTCAAGTTGAGGGTGGTGGGACGGAGCTTCTGGGTGTCCTCGGGGGTGGGCGAAGGTATCAGCAACCCCGAAGGGGAGGGGGGTGCCTCTTCCAGCCCCTCCTCTTCCTCCTCCTCTTCCTCTTCCTCCTCTTCATTGTCATCGATCATCTCAAACTCCTGGAAGTCTTCCTGGAAGGTGCAGGTGGGGTGGGGCTGCTCCCCCCTGCCCAGCCCCAGGCAGTCCTGGGTGGAAGCAAAGGCAGGTCGTGGCCGAGGGGAGGAGCAGGAGGGGACGTGGCCCACCCACCCAGCCAGGGGCAGCTCTGGGCTCAAGGATCCTGCGGGAGGTCTCTCAAGTGGGCTGCCCCCCGCCACTCAGGAAGGCCGACTGGCAGCATTCAGGGCCCCCACTGCTGTCTCAGTTCTTAGGCCAATGGCATTCACACAAGCTAGGATGTTGCTGGCAACATCATCCGGGGTCCGGTAGGAGGACAGGTGGGGTTCTGGAATCTGGGCTGGTCTTTTCAAAGGATCCCCCAATCACCATGATCATGACCATAGAGAGAGAGATCTGGATGGGCAGGCAGAGAATTCACATTCTAGGGGGGTCTTTAAGGAGGGGTGTCATTTGGGAGAAAGGGGGGGGGGCTTGGCTCAATGGCCTGGACGGTAGAGTGGGATCCTTCCAGAGCTGATTCAGCCTCCTGGTGGGTCACTTCCCACCCTGCACCCTGCTCATGGCCTCCCCCAGGACCGATTTGGGTGGGTGGTCTCTGCATTGAATCTCAGCTCCCTTTTCCTCCTTGCTGCTGTGACCCAAGTATGCTGAAGGGACAAGACCCAGCTGACCAGCACACAACGGTCAGGCTCAAGCCAGGCTTCCCCCCCCCCTCTTCTGAGCCAGCAGCTCCCCTTTAAAGAAGAGAGCAGGCTTTCTGCCCCCCTCCCACCCCCCGCTGGGGGTCTCCTGGGAGGGTGGGTGGAGGCCACTCATGCATGGAGGTCTCTCCATCCAGAGGGGAGATCCTCCCCACCCCCACAGAGCAAGAGGCAAGCAGCAAGGTCGGGCAAGGTGAACTGTGGGGTCCTCCAGTGTCAAATGAGAGGGGCAGACACCCCCCCTTGCCATAGCCCCCCACCTGCCGGCTCCGCTCACCTTCTCGTTGTGATCCGAGTCATAATTCAGGCCGATGCCGCAGTCGTCTGTGATCTCGGACAGGTCCTCGTCGTCAAATTCTTCCAGGCTGATGTCCTGGGGGGGTCTGCAAGGAGAGCAGGAGGAGACCCCCATGAGGACTGGAAACCTCAACCGCCTCCCTCCCCCTCACCTACCAGGGGACTCGCTGGGCCTGGAAAAACAGGCGGCCCTTTGCTCTCCTTCTTGCAATTAGCCTTAATTGCAGCAGCTGAGCCGGTGGCGGATGAGGGAGGGGGGAGCCCCGTTCTCCCTCCCCCCCCCTTGGGGGGACCCCAGAGTCTCTTTTGCTGGAGCAGAAACTCCCTGGGCATCTCCTGCCCTGCCCTTGCTACCTTCTATGGGGCAGCGAGAAGTCCCCACCCCCCATAACCAAAAAGGAGAACTACTTCTTGCTGGGGGGGGAGCCAAGTGTGCTAATTTCCCCCACCTGCAGGAGCCCCTCCAGCAGGCAATCTGGGGGAAGCCCACCTGGGCGGAGAGGCTGGTCCAGCAGTGGAAGAGTTAAGCAACTTGATGGGAATATGGTTGTTATGGAAACCGGGCCTTTGAAAGCCAGAAATGCTGGCCTAATCTATACATTCAAATCATGTAACCGAGATGGAAAGCCAGGACTGCAGCAAAAGCCCCACCCACCCAAGGGGGCTGGAGGGGGGCAGAGGCCCCGGGAGGCCCATGCCTCGCTTGGGGGAGGCTGGGCAAGCCCAGGGCCTCTCCAGGAAAGGCTCCACCGGAGGCCTTCAAGGGGTGGGGCAGGCCTAGCTGGTCTGGCTAGCCCAGGGCTAGGCCACCTGGGCTCTTTTATGACTGGTGGACTTCAACTCCCAGAATTCCTCACCCAGCATGGCTCAGTTTGGAAACCTCTCCCTTTCCCCTCAGCATGGCTGGCTCAGGAATTCTGGGAGTTGAAGTCCACCAGTCATAAAAGAGCCAAGCTTGCCTAGCCCTGGGCTAGTCTGTGGTCTTCGGTGCTGGCCAAATGCAGAAGGCGGACGGGCCAGTTCAGCACCCTGGGGAGATGCCTCTGGAGGCGCCACCCCTGCCTGGGAAGGGGGCTGGCCCCTTGGCGGTCCAGGGGCTGCCCAGAGAGCCTTAAGGGCCGCCTCTCACTCGGAGGGTCTTCAGCTGAGATCCGAGGGGTGGAGGACAAGCCGCAAGGAAGCCGCAGACTCTACCAAGGTTTCCCTTCCCTGGTGCCACACACACACACAACCCGTTGAGCCAAGGCAGAGCAACCCCTGGTGGTCAGCCTGAAGGCCCCAATCCCAGGCCCCTGGTCACAGAGGACAGCTGGACAAGGAGGGCATGGAGGTCTGGGGGAGCCCCCTCCCCAATCCCAATGAAAGGGGCCAGCAGCTGGCAGAATCCAGGCCTGGTGCTTGGGCGAGGGGACCTTTCCTGCCCATCCCTGGGGCTGCTTCAGGCCAGGTAACTTGCCAGCCCACCCGGTAGGGGATCTTGCCCACGAGCTGACCCAGCACGGCTAGCCCTCTGGACGTCTTGCCCTTTCCGGAGGCGGTGGTGGGGCTCATGATGGCCCTCTCCTCCCATGGGTGGGGAGACACACATCTCCAGGCCGAGCTCTGCTGGAGTCGCCCAATTGTGAGCAACACACCTCCAGCCCTGCCGTTGTCTTCTTCTGCAGTTTGTATCCTGCCTGGTTGTTCTGGCCATTGACACCATTTTCAGAGCTCATTGTGGCTGGCAGACTGAGGTGGGCAAGAGTCGCCCCCTGCCCCCAAACTGCCACCTCAACGAAGAGCATCTCCCTCGTGGCCGGGGTCTTTTCTGTCTCCATCTTCCCAGCAATCCCCCACCAGCGCTAACCTGGCAAACTCTGGGATGTCTGCCTCATCCAGGCCCCAAGAAGCAGGATGAGGTCATCCCAGTTACTAGCAATTAACGTTTTCAACATAACGTGGCTCTTTTGCTGTCAATACTTAGACGTGTCATCATTTTTCCACGCCATGCCCTTCACACGACTCTGAAGCGCTTGGCAGGTGTGCAGAGAGGCCCAGAGAGGGCCGCCCTTTCGTCCCCAGGATAAATGGCCTCCGGGTCATCCCTGGAGGGTCAGGTGAGGAAGCAGCACCAGCCACGGGGCCAAGGCAAGCAGGAGCCGGAAGGAGAGGCCGCTTCAGGCTTCAGCTGGGAGGTTGTGGATCCCAGAGAAGCTGCGTCCAGCTCCGGACAGGCACCCGTTGCCTTCAGGCACTCAAGGATGACTTGGCCGCCTATCCAGTGGGCAGTGCTAACGTGTGTGTTGCCATGAGCAAAACACCTTCAATGGGGCAACCTCAAGCAGGCAGGGAAAGGGTCTCCCTGAAACTAGGCTGCATTAACAGATCATGTGAAATGTTAGTACCGCTTTACAAGGCCTTGGTAATCCTGCATCCAGTTTTGGTCACCACGATGTAAAAAAGATGTTGAGACTCTAGAAAGAGGGCAGAGAAGAGCAACAAAGAGGATCAGGGGACTGGAGGCCAAAACATACAAGGAACGGTTGCTGGAATTGGGTCTGTCTAGTTTAATGAAGAGAAGGACGAGGGGGGACATGATAGCAGTCTTCCAATATCTCAGGGGCTGCCACAAAGAAGAGGGAGTCAAGCTATTCTCCAAAGCGCCTGAAGGCAGGACAAGAAGCAACGGGTGGAAACTCATCAAGGAGAGAAGCAACCTGGAATTTCCTGATAGTGGGAACAATTAATCACTGGAACAGCTTGCCTCCAGAAGTTGTGGGTGCTCCAACACTGGAAATGTTTAAGAAAAGCCATTTGTTTGAAATGGTACATAGGGTTTCCTGCCTGAACAGGAGGTTGGACTAGAAGGCCTTCAAGGTCCCTTCCAACTCTGTTATTCTGTTAAACTGAGGAGGATAAAAAAGCCTCAGGGGTGATGGGCATTCACTCTTTAGCAGGAGTGGCTTTGTGAGATCCTGGAAATATTTTTAAATTATTAACTCACTCATACTCTAAGCATCCTGAATTGAATTTGAAATACAGGAAGTCTGTTGGGTGCATTAACGGCAGAGCTTGATCTGGTGGAGTTGCTGGGCCCTCAAACAACCTCCCCACTTGTCCTGCCAAGTCTCCCATCCTGGGGGGAGGGAGGTGCCCGACCCCCCCAAGACACCCTGCTTCTCCGATTGCTTTCTGAGGCTGGATGGTTCTCCTGCCCCTTTTACGAGGCTGGCAATGCCTTGGAACCACTTAAAAATAAAAGCTCTCCTTTGCGAAGCTGAGTGCTCATCCCGAAGGTTTAACTGATGCTGAAATGGGGTCCTTGAATCATCGCCAGATCCAACTGGGGAAAACCTACACCGTTGCAAAACAAAGGCGTGAGTGGCCATGTGCAGAGCGCCCTCACCACTCGTACTGCCCTTCTCCGTGCCTCCCGCCGGAGGGAGCCCAGAGACCAGCAGCACAGCAGGGAAAGGGGCCGGGGGGTTCAGAGGAAGGGGACCTGCTCTTGTGGGGCCACCTGAAGCCTGGCCTGGCCAGAGGGACCTTCCTTGGGGTGTCTGAGCACAGCGTAGTAGAGAGTTGGAAGGGACCTTGGAGATCTTCTAGTCCAACTCCTGCTCAGGCGGGCGACAGCATACCGGGGGGGGGGGTCCAACCTTGGAACTTTAAGACATGTGGACTTCAACTCCCAGAATTCCCCAGCCAGCATCGCCAAGTTTGGAGACCTCTGGAGAAGAGCAGGGCAGATCCAGACTCAGTTCTTGGAAGACCTCTCCAGTTGACCCGTCGCTTAGCCCAGCTGGGCCTCCCATGTGGCTTTAGCCAAGGTTAGCAGGGGTGTGTGTGACCTGCTCAAGGGCACGATAGGAACAGGGCCAGCTGGTTCCTGGCTGGAATGGAGACAGCCGCCCTCCCCAAAGAGGAACTGCTGCATTCATTCTCCTCCTCCTTCTTTCCTGCACCGGCCAAGATGGTGGCCGTATTCTGAGCAGCCAGTTGGATGGAGGAAGGGAGGGAGGGAGGGAAGGAGGGAGGGAAGGAAGGAAGGAGGGTGGGAAGGAAGGAAAGGAGGGAGGGAGG